CCGTCGCCTCCGCTAGCAGGGAGTTCCCTGCCTGCAATGGCTGGAAGTTTGAGTCTTCTCGCTTTCAGGGTCCGAAATCCCGAAGCTTAATTAACTGCAAGGCGAAGAGGGGCCTTTGGGCACAGGGTGAACGCCTTCCCCACGACTTAACGCGGGCGCGGGGCGAGGGTGAGGCGGGAGGCTGAGCAGCTGCTGGCGCCCGGCTGCAGGCAGGTCGCCGAGGGCCAGGGTACCAGATTTAGGCGTGTACGTCACTGGTGCTGATTTGGAGCCAGCTGGGAGCCTAAAACCGAGCCGCACACGCGGACCCTCAACGTCCTTAGATATCGGAGTTAAGAAGTCCAGAGGTTGGGTGGGCGAGAGGAGAGTCGAGGTAGGGGCGGTTGGAGGGAATCGGGCATTTCTTCTTGCAGATGCCGTATCCTTAGGAAACAGTTCGGTTCCTTCCCCCTCTCCTGTATGTTCCCCCCAGTTATATGCAACCACTGCCACCCATTATAAAGAAGTGAATATCCTCGACCGAAGGCTTTTCTTTCTCATTGAACTAGTGGAAAAATCCAGCGCTAAAGTAGTAAGGACAGTAACAGAATTATAAGGAGAGAGAGCAGCAGCTCCTGACCCTGGTACTTTTTTTTTTTTTTGGTTGGTGGGGGTGAGGAAGTGGGTGAGAGGCTGTGTTTAAAAGGCTCGGCGACGCTGAAATCACCCACTTTTCCTGCACGGTTAAAACAAGGAAATTCAAATCAAGTGGGAACGTGATCCTCTTGCAAGCTGGCAGCGGACACTGCGGCTGCTCTGCTGAGAGGTAACTCGGAAACCCAGGAAAGGGGCGTGGAGAGGACCTTGGGGGTCGGTGCGGCCCCCGCGGGAGTCCTCCCCTGCGAGCGGACGCTGCGGGTGGAGTCTGGGCCAGGGCTGCCCTTCACCTGGCGCTGCAGGTGGAGAGCGTGAGGGGATTACACCTTGACTGGCTCTCGGAAAAGCCGACTTTGACGCGTCACCACACTTTGCATGTCTTTTCAGCTATCGTAGGGTGGGCAGGAGAGCCAGGTGGCGCGAGTAAGCTGAGGGCTGCTGAGCGAGGGGCGGGGGTCAGCGTGCGCAGGGGGCCGGCTGCCTGGTGTCGTAGCCGCTGCTCGGCACCCAGGTCGCCCGTGCGGCTTTAAGGGAGCCGCCGAGTCCAGGCTGTGTCGCAGCAACTTTGTATCAGTCATGTCGTCCTCCTGGTGACTGACAGCCACAATTGCCCAATGAGAAGCCATCCTCGCCCAAGCAGCGTGGAGCCTGGCTTCCCCCTGGGCCAATAGCAAGGGCTCAGGGGGCGGGATAGCAGCCTGAACTTTATCTGGACATGTGACCCGCTTTAAAAAGGGCCCACTCCCCCTCCGGGCTTCCACCCGTCCTCTCTCCTCTCTCCCTCCCTATTTCGCCTGCCCTGGCCCAGCTCCTACCCCTGGCCCCGCCGGGTCCTCTCCGCCCCTCCGCGCCCGAGGTGTCATTGGACGGGGGAGACGCTAGCCAACTTCAGGCTGCTGGAGGAAGCCCGTGCAGTCACCTGGGTGCAAGAGCGTTGCTGCCTCCTCGGGCGCTCCCGCTACAGGGGAGCGGCAGTCGCTGGCCTGGATGTGGTTGGATTTGGGGGGACTCCGCAGCTGGAGTGTCGTGGCGTTGGCGAGCGCTGCAACAGGTAGACGCCGAGACGGACCCCGGCCGAGGCAGGTGTGTGGGGGTGCGCGGCGGGGCGCCGCTTGCCGGCCTGGGCGTGCGGCCGTGGCGCGGGAGCGTGCACTTCGCTGGGAGAAGTGGCTGCGTAATTCGGAGGCACAGTCGGTATGGGGCTGTGTGCTTGTTGTTTTGTTTTGGTTTTCCACTTTTTCCCCCCTTTGGCCGCCAGAGGACTATTTTGGGAAAGTTTGGCCACTTTGGATAAATGCCCTCTAACGAGCGGCTTTCAGCCGCTTTTGGCAGTGGGAGGTCTATCATCACCCTTCTCCTTTTCCCCAGGATGAATTTCGGGTCCTTCGCCTTATACAGTTTTTAAAGGACCTTTGAATGATATTTCTTTCCTCTATCAATTGCAGAAACACCCAAATCATAGCTGGAGGTGTAGCTTATTAAGGGCAGTTGAAGGAGATAGCGATCCTGATAGATCCTGCATGAAGGAGGCTCTGGAAATTCGTGAATTCCCCATTCCTGGGTATTCATGAAACTCTTGAGAGAGGCTCTTCTTTCTGTGGCATCAGTTGGAGTTCTGAAGGCAGGGGAAAAGGGATGGAGCTTCTTTTGGTGGCACCCGGACCCTTCTACTGGACTTAGATGCATGACTTCTCCTACTGAATTTTTAAAAATCAGGTTTAAATCATAATGGTTTATGGCACCCTCGGTTTTAACTATCATTTCATAGAAGTTAGGAAAACTTTTACTTGATAGGAGGCAAATTTTGGAAAGTGCTGAATTCCAAATGCACTATTTCCATTTCTCTAGGTGCTGTTATTGATGATATTTACATAGTAATGATAACAGCGTTCTCCATCTGTGAAGTTCTGCTGTGAAGTTTTAATTTTATGTGTGACTTCATGGCATGCTATCATGGAAATGGTCGAGGAGAGAAGTTTTTAAAAATAATCTAAAGGCGAGCTTTTTCCTTTAAGGGAGAAGAAATAGTTTTGTTTGGGGATTTTGGAAAGATCAGGTGGCTCAGTGAATTAGGTGAGTGAATAGAAATCAGGTGTGCGCAGTTCTAACTGGTTCTCCTGCTCTCTTAGGTGACCTTGGGCAGGTTTCTATCATTTACCTCATCTGTAAAGGAGGGGAACATAATCATGGTTCTGTAGTGGGAATGACAGAAAAATAGTTACATACAACAAACTTACAACTATGCAACCCGTGAAAATTGTGTAATTCTTAAAGATTCTGGTCTCTTAGATGCCATGTTATAGTGAAATAACTACAAAAAATGATGCATTTAAAATGAAACTATGGGGGATATTAAAAGTGAAAATGTTTTCAGATAAAATACAAATTTGCAGGAGTTTTTGTTAATATTTCTGAAAAAGAAACTACTTCCTTATGGAAAAGGACAATTTAATACAGGGTATAAAACAAAATTTTAAAGTCAGATTTTCCCTTTGCAAACATAGTATTTAAGAGCATACATATGGCTTAAGGTAGAACTTCTAGCAGAGCTTGCCCATACTTATGTGAAATTTCCATTATGTTTTGTGACAAGGCCATTCACATCAAAATTAAAGGGTTCTAGTCGTTTTTTTTTACTTTGTCCAGAGAAGGTCTCTGTTGTAATCTTCATTGTAAGGGAGACAAATTTCATTTTATATAAGCTAGGTTACTATACCAATATCCTATAGGCTAGTAAAAAACTGTCCCTTTGCCCTGTGGATAGTAAGTTAGTTCTATGAGAATCATATTCACCAACTAGTACTTTTAGTATTCACTACTAAGTTTCAGTTGACCGAAATTCTTTTGAAACCACCATGGTCATTATGCCAATTCCGAAAGGACAAAAAGTTGGGTTTCCTGGACAACATAGGAAATAAATTTCTAACCGGATACATTTCTTTACAGAGAAGATGAATTAAAATAATAGGGAGAACTCAGAGTAAAGTACTTCAATAAATCTATTTTTTGAAAACATCTGATCTTTAAAAGTGTTTCCAGTGGAAGCCATGCAGATGCTTGATGTCCTCTATTTTTCTGTTTGACTGTTGCCAACCTTTACTCTGTTTTCTTTGTTGAGAGGTGCATTAGGTTGATAGATGAGAATACCTACAAAGCTAATTTGGATTTCAGCAAAGCGTGTTGCAAATTTTATAATGATAGCCCTGTCAGTAAGGTAGTGAAATGCAGGCTATATTATCTTATTGTTAAGGGAGTTTAAGGATGGCTAAACAGGACTTGAAAAGTTGTGCTCAGCTGTATGATGTTAGCTGATAAGGTGCTTGCTTGTAGTTTATGATTGTCCTTGCCCGCCATCTCCCATATAGATTCTCTTCAAATCTTCATAGGGATTCATAAATCTGAGCTATGATTCCTACTTTAGGGCAGAGTGATGAAAAACGTCCCTTGGAATATCAGTAGGTGTTCTGTGCAAAAAGGTTTAATTACGTAGGGAATGCTGGATTAAAAGGGAAATAGGTTTCTGCACTGTGAAGCTGCTCAGGAGTTTTGGCTGCAGATTTCCACTGCGAGCCTTTAAAAATGCAGTAAGTGATCATCCTTTCTGAAGGAGAATTTGAACTATGGAATTTTGGAGAGGGATCTGCATGGAGATTTCCCTTCAGACTCAGGGAAGGTAGGCCTGTTTCCCAGGACGTGGGGAGAGGCTGTCAGTGTGGAAGTGGGGAGGGGTGGGTCTGTGGAGGCCTTTAGTAAAGGTGCTTAGGCAAGGGTGAATTCCAGGCATGTGGGGAGAGGGTGGAGCAGTTTACCAAACAGGGATCATGGGTTGAGGGACTGGGTTGAGGGGCGAGTGGTGATACACAGAAGGTGTTCAGTTTGAACACAAATAGACAGCCATGTTACTTGTGGTGTTTAATGAATTTGGAGCCAAAACATCTATACCTTAGATATATATCCCTTCAAGTTTGGTATGGGGAGGACAGAATATTCTTAGGTAGAAGTTGAAAAAGCACATAATGTTTACTGGTCCTTTTCAACCTGTGGCTATGACTAAATGGTTTTTTAGTAAAGGAGAAAATGCCAGTGGTAGCCATTTCTATCCCATTTCACTGGGTGGTAGTTATTGTGTGTGTTTTGTTGTTGTTGTTGTTTTTTTCAACTTTTACTTGGCTTTTATCCTTACTGAATTTTTTGGCCGGAGTTACCAGATAACCCCTCAGCCTCTGTAATTTGATTTATTTTCCAGTGTTTTGTGGATTAATTTTTTATTAGGAATTTATAGACTAATGCTCTTTAAGTAAAAGGAGGCTACATAATTGGTAGGTTTTTATGTATGGTCTTAAATTAGTATTGATTATAATGGTTCAGTTTTTTGTGTGTGTTTTTGTTGTTGTTGTTTTCACTATACTATTAGCTTGGGATGCACTGGTGAAATTTATAAATCTTCTGCCTTCTGGGACCTTACATTCTACTGTAGAATACAGAAAAGTTAAAGTGGTTACAATAGCAGATGATTTGGGCATTAAATTTCATTATAGAGCCTTCTCATAGCTATTGCCAATTTATTTGGTAGAGTCATCATTATTTTTGCGTGTCAATTAATACAAGTTCTGTAACAAAAGGGCTCCCTAGTCTCTTTGTAATGAGAGGAAGGTAGGAAGAATGAAGGTGTGAGTGGCAAAGCAGGGGAAAGGATGAGAGGCCGAAAGTAATGCTTGTGCACAGATCTGTAGAAACGGCACATTTAAGATCAGGACCTTCACTTGGGTCATAGTTTGTTTACACAACTGAAAGGATTTGAAAAATGCATAATAATTTTAGGAGGTTTATAACAATGTACAAATGAAATTTTTACTCAGAATAAGTTAGTTTTCTGTACGTGGTAGTTCTCAATGGTGAGTGTGGGAGGATTCCCCCCTCCCCCCATTCCAGGAACATTTGGCAATGTCTGGAGACATTTTGGTTGTCACAACTGGGGACAATAGGGACTGCTACTGGCATCTAGTGGGAAAGGGTCAGGGATGTGTTAAACATCTCACAGTGCATGGGACAGACCTCCACAACAAAGAATTATCAGGCCCAAAACGTCAGTGGTACCAAGTTGAGATAACCATGGAGAGAGGGACATGGGATTAAATTCCAGTTCTGCCACTTAGCTGTGTGCCCAGTGCCTCAGTTTCCCCACTTGTATCATTTGGATAATACTTTTACCAATTTTAAAGGATTGTTTATACTTATTAGGGTAAATAAGTTAATGTTTGAGAAAGGCTTATAATATTGCATTGAATTATGTGATGCATAAGAATTATATAAATATAGCCTATTACAGTTATTATGTCAATGAAATAGAGAGAGAGAGCCAATGGATATAATTGTATAGCTACAACAATCCTGCAGGCTCCCTGAGGATGGGGACTGTGCCTGTTTTCTTTAGCACCATAGATTCAGTGATTGGTTGTAGGCCCAGGATGTAGCACACACTTGGTAAGTATTTGTGGAATGAATGAACACGTAAGTTGTCAGGACCCATCTTGAACTTCCTCCATTTACAGTGGAGACTGAAACTGTCTGTCTGTTGGGAGTCTTTTTAGCAGGAGGAACACCACCAGGTCAGGGTGCACATCAGACTCCTCACCTGGACTGAGATACAGAGAAGAGTCCTGTCATTCCCGACATAGCCCCTCTGAGCTTTGGACCATCTTAATTAATCAGGATAGATGAATCTTTACTTTTTAGACTTGACATTAAATTATCTTGATCACAATCAATTTTTTAAAAATCTTACTGTTTTCCCTGTGATAATTTACTCCATAACTTTATATTGGGAAATGGTAGCATTAATTGCATTTTCTTATTAATTTTAATAAAGCCATGTTTTAGATATGGGAAGTATCTTCCATATACCCCAAAGATTCAAAAGGCGTTGGAGTTAGAATATTTAGTTTTAAATCTGCCTTTGTCACTTATTATGCCTTGGACCTTGGGCAAGCCACCTACCTCACTAAGTCCTCAGTTTCCTCTTTGTTTACTTCATGGTCCCCAGGATTACTTTGAATATTAAATAAGTTAGCATTTGTAAATAGTCTTTGTGAACTCTAAAGGCTGTATTATAGAAATATGTTACTTTTACTTGGATGAAAAATAGTTTTATATGTGCTTCTTATAGTCAAGTTACTGACTGTAACTTGGCTTCTGGACAAGTTACAGTCAGTATTCTGTTGTATCAGCACCTAGACAGGTAACAATTTTAGTACAAGTGTTGCTTATAATAAATAGAATATACACTTATAGCTTAGTACAGCAATTTTCAACCATTTTCATCTCCTGGCACACATACTAATTACTAAAATTCTGTGGCATACCCAAAAATATGTTATATTTTTGTCTATATCTGATAAAAATAGGTATAATTTTGATTCATTCACACTGGACGGCTGTTGTTGTGTTGGCTGTTGTCATGTTTTTACTTGACAATCGAATAGCAAAAAAGATCAGGGCCCCTGACAAAATAGTCAGGTATTGCACGTTTTAAAAATTCTTGCGGCACACCAGTTGAAAATTGCTGGCTTAGTAAATGGAGTTTAAGAATAATGTTAGAGTAATGTTATAAATGACTCTAATTCGATTTTTTAATGTAAATTTATTTGTTAGCTATGGAGACCAAAGGCTACCACAGTCTCCCTGAAGGTCTAGATATGGAAAGACGGTGGGGTCAAGTTTCTCAGGCTGTGGATCATTCATCCCTGGGACCTACAGAGAGGACCGATGAGAACAACTACATGGAGATTGTCAATGTAAGCTGTGTTTCCGGTGCTATTCCAAACAACAGTACTCAAGGAAGCAGCAAAGAAAAACATGAACTACTCCCTTGCCTTCAGCAAGACAATAATCAGCCTGGGATTTTAACATCTGATATTAAAACGGAGCTGGAATCTAAGGAACTTTCAGTAACTGTAGCTGAGTCCATGGGTTTATACATGGATTCTATTAGAGATGCTGAGTACACCTATGATCCGCAGAACCAGCAAGGAAGCCTGAGTCAAGCAAAGATTTATCAGAATGTTGAACAGTTGGTGAAATTTTATAAAGAGAACGGCCATTGTCCTTCCACGGCAGGGATGAGCAGGCCCTTGAGATCTTTCATGGCTGACTCGGGGAGCTCTGTGAATGGTGGGGTCGTGCGTGCCATCGTTAAAAGCCCCCTCCTGTGTCATGAGAAGAGCCCGTCTGTTTGCAGCCCTCTGAACATGACATCTTCAGCGTGCAGCCCCGCTGGACTCAGCTCTGTGTCCTCCACCTCGGCCAGCTTTGGCAGTTTCACCGTGCACAGCCCTATCACCCAGGGCACCCCCTTGACCTGCTCCCCGAATATCGAGACTCGAGGTTCCAGGTCGCACAGCCCAGCGCATGCTAGCAATGTGGGCTCTCCTCTCTCAAGTCCATTAAGTAGCATGAAATCCCCAGTTTCCAGCCCTCCAAGTCACTGCAGTGTAAAATCTCCAGTCTCCAGTCCAAATGTCACTTTGCGATCTGCAGTGTCCAGCCCGGCCAATATCAATAACTCAAGGTGCTCCGTTTCCAGCCCTTCCAACACGAATAACAGATCCACGCTTTCCAGTCCAACTGCTAGCACCGTGGGGTCCATCTGCAGCCCTGTTAGCAATGCCTTCAGCTACACTGCTGCAGGCACCCCTCTGGGATCCAGTGCGGCCCGGGACGTGGTTTCCAGCCCAGACACACACGAGAAAGGTGCTCATGAGGTCTCCTTTCCCGAGATCGAGGAAGCAGAGAATGCCACCTCCAACGGTGTGACGGGCCAGCTTAACATCGTCCCGTACATCAAACCAGAGCCAGATGGAGGTTTTAGCAGCTCGTGTCTAAGAGGAAATAGCAAGATGAATCCCGCTTCCCCATTCTCAGTACCAATCAAACAAGAATCAACCAAGCATTCGTGTTCAGGCACCTCCTTCAAGGGGAATCCGACCGTGAACCCATTTCCATTCATGGATAGCTCCTATTTTTCCTTTATGGATGATAAAGACTATTATTCTCTATCAGGAATTCTAGGCCCGCCTGTGCCCGGCTTCGACGGTAGCTGCGAAGGCAGCGGCTTCCCCGTGGGGATTAAACAGGAACCAGATGACGGGAGCTACTACCCAGAGGCCAGCATCCCGTCCTCTGCCATTGTTGGTGTGAACTCAGGTGGACAGTCCTTTCACTACAGGATTGGTGCTCAAGGTACAATATCTTTGTCACGAGCGGCTAGAGACCAATCTTTCCAGCACCTGAGTTCCTTTCCTCCTGTCAATACCTTGGTGGAGTCGTGGAAATCCCACAGTGACCTGGCATCTCGGAGAAGCGATGGCTATCCGGTCCTAGAGTACATTCCAGAAAATGTATCAAGGTAAGTTGGCTTTTTCTTCCCTTTCGAAAATCATGGCTTTATACCAGGTGAAAGGCTAGCCTTTCATTTACAGTTGACAAATGAAGCACATTTCAGTTTACTATCTTATTTATATATTCGGGATGGTCATTTAGGGTGTGTCTCCCCCCACCCTCTCCCGTGCTTGTTGGGAGAATGTTATTACTTCTTTAAAAATGGAGAAATAAAAAGTTCCTAAAATCTCTGAGAAAACATTTGTGTTGGTTTTGAAGGATCGCATATAGGTGTTTCCCCCGACACACTGCTGCCACGCTGCCTGCTGTAGGTCTTTGGAAAAAGTTTGTTTTCTGCTGCCTGTTACTAGGTTTACTTTAGCAAACTAGCGCCAGATTATTTTTTTTTCTTTAGCTGTATACTGGTTCACTAAAGTTGCTTTAAATTAGTTTCTTTGTGGTTTTAGTCTTCTTTTTCTCTTTTCCTTCTTCTTCCTTTTTTTTAGCTTTCTTTATTAATCACTTCATTAGCTGTGAAAAATGAAATTGAACCTCAAATCTGTTACCCTCAAGCTCCCCACCCGCCCTGTCCTTTTCTGGTTAGGTTAATTGTATGTAAGTTGTGGTTTTTTAATATAAATAAACCATTTCCTTAACATTTGAGGGGTTTAAAGACTCAGCACAGCTAAAATTACTAAGTGGACAGTCTTGCTTTCTTACTCATATTGGAAGAGAAATATGTCCCTGCAGTTTTGAATTAGTATATGTATAACTTAAGATCTGCAAGAAGACATACATAACTTACGGTAAAATATCTCTTGGCTTTCCTCATTGCAGATAGCATACTGTATATATTTAGAAAAACAAGGAAGAGGTTGTAGATATGACTAAAGGGTGGTTCTAAGTTATATAATGAATGCTTGCATTGGACTTTGCTTCAGTACTATTTTTATTACATGGTTGTAATAAATGATTCCTTTATTGGACATATAAAGAACGAAGTTATTAGATATAGATCTTTCCTTTGGCATCTAGGAATATATGGATATTTTCCTAAATAATTAATTTTGTGGGTAATATGACCAGGCTATAGGTTATGTGTGTGTTCCTGTGTCTCTGTCCTTCTATTTTGTTTTTGTGTTTTTGCAAACCAAGAGCAAAAACTTTAATTTGTGCATTCTTTTTCTCATCATCATTGTCTAAAACCTGACTCCTCTTGCTTTTATGGAAGCAAACATTCCATAAAAGATACATTCTTACATTTTAGCGCTGCCTCTCTTTCTTACATTCAAATTTTAACAGGAGTCGGGAGCTCGCCTAGCGTTCATCAGAACCAAACTCAGCCCGTGTTCTGCTAGTGCTCTGATTTACTTAAGGAAATTTGGTACATAATGTAGATTTTAGGTAAGCAATGTTATTTTCAGTGAGTTGGTCTGAGGGAATGTAGCCTCGTGGTTAAGAGCGGAGCTGCCCTGGTTGAAATCCCAGCTGGGCCACTTAACTGCTTCACGTTCCTGTGCACCTCCCTTTACCTCTCTGGGCTGCAGTCTTCTTATCTGAAAAAAGGGAATTAAATAGATTTACTTTATGAGAAGCCCTTTGAATATCACCTGGTATGTACCATACCTTGTACCAGTATACATTTTAGCTATGACTGTTAATTTAGTTAAATCTTAAGTGTTTTCACAACCTTTAGTTTCCATTTTTTTTAGTTTTCTTTTTCTTCATGATATGAAATTTGACAAAAATTTTTAAAAAGTATTATGTACATAGTTAAAAAGTATTTATTGATAATTCTTATGAGTAAGTTCTACTCTGATTAAAAAACTTATGATTGGGCACCAAAATTTTGCTACTGCATTTCTATTTATGCTTTTTTAGTTGACTGATGAAGCACCTCCTGATGGCCTAGCCCAGTGGTCGGCACACTGCGGCTCGCGAGCCACATGCGGCTCTTTGGCCCCTTGAGTGTGGCTCTTCCACAAAATACCACATGCGGGCACAAACAAGTTACTGTGAATCAGTGACCTTGAACTTACCCTGCATTTGTGGATACTGGAGGTGTTATCTGGTGTCTCTTTGAGTATTCTTTGAGTATGCTAAAATTCTCTCTATATGTGTTACTGTAGTCAGGGGGTATTCATTTACATATATGCTGGTATTGTGTGCTAGTTAATGTTTTCCAAAAATGTTAATATCAAAGCTCTGTTATTTGAAGTCTATTATAGATGACTAATTCTTTATAGTTTTTTCCTCATGAATATTATCCGAATCTATTTGTTTTGATCATTCTCAGCATAAAGCTCAAAGATCAGAGGAAATTTAGGTATTTTTCTAGAATTTAGTCTATGTTGTAATATTTAACTTAACCTCATCCAAGCTTCATTATTTTGTGTCTTTTGGACCGAAATCCAACATTTTTGCTTACTTCTTAATATATAATGATGATACCCCATTCCAGAGAATGTTGAATAAATTAATGAACTAAAGGTTGTAAAGGATCAAGGCAGTGTGTAACTACTGTAGGTTTTATAGCATTCTTTATCTTTTGGTTGAACTCTATTAAACTGTTTTCTAGTAGACCTCAAAATACAGTTTGAGGTTCCTGAGACCTCAGGAGTTACATGAGGTCAAAAGTTATGCATCATTTAAAGACCCATTGAAAATGGAAGATAGACCAATGAATTTTAATGGAATAGTGTAAGAAAAGTTCAGAGATATCCATGCTTTCAGATTCCACATTGCACCTCACTTTTAAGAAACTACTTACTGTCAATTTTCAATGTAGTGTAAAAGAATCATATCTGCGCTTATCTGAACGACCATTGAAATGCTCCTTCTTTTTCCAACAACATATCTGTATTGGGCCAGAGTTTCTTTATATATTTGAGCCAAAACATATCATGTCACCACATACAATGTATTTGTTAACATGTAATGACTTATTTTCAAATTATTTAAAATAGCCCTAACCAGTTTGGCTCAGTGGATAGAGCATTGGCCTGCAGACTGAAAGGTCCCAGGTTCGATTCCGGTCAAGGGCATGTACCTTGGTTGCGGTCACATCCCCAGTTGTGGGTGTGCAAGAGGCAGCTGATCGATGTTTCTCTCTCATCGATGTTTCTAACTCTCTATCCCTTTCCCTTCCTCTCTGAAAAAATCAATAAAATGTATTTAAAAAAATTATTTAAAATAAATATTAGCTATAATTTCTAATCATGGTAAATATCAGTAGATATAACTCATAGGAACCAAAGTTCTTTGGTATCCTCAGTACATTTTAGGAAGGGAAATGTGTCTTGAGTTCCAAAAGTTGAAAATCACTGGTCTCTGCTATTGGATACACCCAGTGGTAGTTAACAAAACAGAAAGATATTACTTTATTTGTGTTAGCCTTCTTGGCTGTTATGCCACGGAAGGAGTGCCCTATTCAAATAAGAAAAATGATTCTAATCCAGATTAAATTTTCAAGCTGGCAAAAATGAGTAATGGCTGAGAAGTGTGTGTTGCACTTTGCAGGCTCTGGGCATTCTGTGGGAGTGGTGACAAAAGTCATCTGTCTGTTAATAATTTCCAGTGAATGGATGTCCGTCCGCGTGCCACATTGTAAAGTAAATTATGGCAAAAGCTGAATGTAAAGTTCAGGGTGGACACTGGACCTCGTTGTGTCATGTAGATTGGCATTCCCCTTCCAGCTTGGACACAACAAAACTAACCTTGAGTGAGTCAGAGATCTCCCAGCCTCAGTTTCTTTAAAGAGAATGACTTGAAATATATGCTCTCTAAGGGTCTGCACCCCTTAACACATTTGCTACTAGTAATGTAGTTTCAAGTATGTTTTAATCACAAGTCTAGCTCTGCAGTTTCCAGGGTGGTCCAGATAGAAAAATCACTTACCATTTAAAACTAAAAGCCAGTAGGCGTGACCTATCATTTTACTTTGAAAAGCAGGATTTTTAAAATCAGATCTTTCTTTTTGCAAAATTTGACACTTACTATGAATTTCTTATCCTTTTAAGTTACATCATTCCTTTTGGAAACAGGTTTTTCTGTTGACATAACATTGGGTGTTTATGGTGATGGGGTAGTCACTTTGATAGCATCATAAAACAGTGCTAACATAGACTTAGACTTTTGAATATAAAGTTCACTATTTCAAAGGGCATATTTCAGTAGGTTTCAAGACAAGCAGTCAGGTATTTATCTTAATATATGCTGCATTTTTTTTCATGATAGAATGAAACAATTTAGTAAATAACCTACAATTATTTTTCATTTTTCAAATGTCCCTAGAGTTTTTTGAAATTCCCTTTCTATAATAAACCCAAACCTGCAGAATTCCAGAAGCTTGTTACAGAGATTGCCTTGTCTCTTAGTAAACTTTCTGAGTAAACCCTTGAGCTGTAAATATCTCTTTGTAATGAAAAGGATGAAAGGTTGATGGGTTTGGGTGGAGGGAGAGATTGATTGATTATTGGTGCTTACTATAACAAATAAATCTATTAAAGATTACTTATGTCATTTGGAAATGAAAAGATGGAATTTTCCTTTTCTTTGTCTCATAATCTTTTGATTTTGAAGTTGCTAGTGTATCTAGAATTCCTGCAAGTTAGTATTTTAAATATTATTAGAAATGATCTCCCTAACTGGTTTGGCTCAGTGGATAGAGCATCGGCCTGCGGACTCAAGGGTCCCAGGTTCAATTCCGGCCAAGGGCATGTACCTTGGTTGCGGACACATACCCAGTAGGGAGTGTGCAGGAGGTGGCCGATTGCTGTTTCTCTCTCTCATCGATGTTTCTAACTCTCTATCCCTCTCCCTTCCTCTCTGTAAAAAGTCAATAAAACATTTGTTTTTAAAAAAAGAAATGATCTTCAAATGAGACTTGCTTCTCCTGATGATTCATTCACTTTCATTCACCTGTGGTATTTCTGGTTAAAAGTGGTGATACTTTTATTTAAAAAACAACAGCAAACTTTAGTGTATTTTAATCTACAAATCACTATGTATAATGTGCTTTTATGCATT